GAATTAAAATCACCCCCACTTCTCATGTACTTTCTGATTTCAAGAGAGAGTCTCAGGAAATTGTTCCTATGGCCTTATGACCTTGAAAAGATTTGGCAGTAATCGATATGCCGGAGTGGGAGTAGGAGTGGGTCTGAGATTATCTGATGGGAAGAAAAGTGTTGCAGTCTGTTGTGCTGGAAGGCATTATTGATTTGAAAACCCTTAAGCCGGCTCACTTGCTGGATAATTAATCCTACCCAGAGAGGAAGATATTTATTAGGTCGTAGGCAGACACATATCTACATTTATCTGGCGGCAATTTACAAATGATTTATCTAATATATCATATTCCAATCACTTGTATATAGACTCTTATTGCTCTTATTGCACTATTTCACTATTTCACTATTATACCATTTTATTTTTGTATTTACTTGCACACTTTTTTCAGTTTTTCAGTTTCATTGTGTTGCACTGTTAGTGGAGCCTGGGACCTAAGATGTTCATCGTCATAACTACACTGTAGCTATGTACGTATGACTAATAAAAGCCTTGAACCTTGAACTAACCCCTAAACCAAAAACCACAATCTAGCTGCTCTCTTTCCTCAAAGGTGATTAAGATAGTGTCAGAGGTAGGCTAACACCTTGCAGAGTTTAAGAACAAATATCTCATCTAGCCTCCTGTCTCCTTGTACACGACACTGTGAGCTTTAATTGCTTTATATTCATTTATTAGTCACCAATGTCCTTCCTTTAATCCAATAGCTAAGAAAGAAACACCTCTAAATGAACCCTGATGATCTCATACTGTCCTATTTTTGTGTTTTTCATGCTTTTTTAATGATACGCTAAGAGAAATACCCGTGGCTAATCCACACCCACCATTGGTGAAATATAGGGTACATTATTCCCTGGCAGTAATGCAGTTACTATGAAGCTAGCTTGATGCCTTTGTCTGCTAATGGAGATGTTCGACTAAGATGGAGTAAGAAGTGATGTATGTGTTGCTCCAGAACTACACCACTGGGAGAACAGGAAGCTGAGCTCTAATGAGGAGCAGCATAAGACGACGAGTTTCAGCCCCCTTCATCTTTGACCTATATATCGATCCCATTTTTTAATCTTTCTCCACCTCTGTATCTCATATTTATATCTTCTGCCTCTTTCGTCTCCCTTTTTCTGTCACATACTCTGAATAAGTAATGGTTAATAATAACATACTGATCCCTCTCATCACATTTTCCTAGAAGCCATCTTGAATACACTATACTGCTGGGCAATTCACAGAAGACATTATGTGAAGAAAGTGCTAGTAGTCGAAGAGCTATAGTGGCTTCAATGAGAATCAATTAAAGCTGAATAGTAATTATGGCTGAATGGATAAGGAAACTAAAACTCTGACTTCATCAATAGAAACATGTCAAAGGTCGGGTTTAAGCAGTGCCGCTTTGTGTTGGTGGGAATTGGTGCTACCCACACTACAATAGGCGCGTTCACACCGCAGTACTTTTCCCACTTTAGTTCCGATATAGTTCCAAAATGTCGCGTTCACACCAAAGAAATCCGGAACTAAAATGAGTTCATCAGAACCTTTTTTACCCCCTTTTCCGTCCCTGCTAGAGAGCAGGTACTTTCGTGGGAGAAAAAGGTCCCGTAAAACTCCAAAAACGTTTTGTGAAGCCGCCATTTTATTATCCTCGCATTAGCATTATTAGCATTAGCCCAGCGCACAAACGCAGAGAGACTAACTTATGGCAACACAAAAGGAAACATGGGAGCGGTGGAGATGAGGAGGTGTCGGCGTTCTGGCGATTTACTCGGAAGGCTTCTACTGAAGCCAGTCCCCAACTCCGGGGACTTCCGGCCGGGGACTTCGGGTGGCAGTATACGCGGTGAAGTTGTTTGCGGCCTGCCAGTAAACCCAAAGCAGAAGAAGAAGAAGTGACGTCAGCGGCTTCATTTGCCTAATCCTCCCCCAGGGACTTATTCCGGTGTGAACGCGATCTGTACTTAGTTCATGAGAACTAAAGAGTTCTCATGAACTAAGTTCTGATGAACCTTTGTGGGAAAAGTACTGCGGTGTGAAAGCGCCAAATGAGCTGTTTACTGTTGGATGAATTATGGAGGCACTGACTCAGGGAGATTTATGACCTGTCTGGTTTGTCGTTTGATGGTGGTATGAGTAATGGGTCATATTTTCAGGTTCTGTATTGACCGTATCAACTGATAGCCCCTAGTAGGAATAAGGAAGTGAAAGGGGTCGAGTAGAGGTGGTGTGATATGCTTGTGTGTTGGGGGTTGTATTGATGTGATATCATAAACACACATGAATTTGTAAGTAACCATACATTCTTTGTAACTCTATGCTAACAATAAAAATGTTGTATTTATTTTCTGCGATGCAGATCTAGTCAAAGCTTCAGGATACATTTACGTTGGTTTGTTTTTATCAAGTTACTGATTGTATCATCATGCTTCAAAGTTCAAGATTACTGTATCTGTGTAGAGAAGCCGGATTGTTGTGATCAGAGCTGTGCAATCCCTTCCTTGTGAAATATTGGCTTCAAAAACAACAACAATTCCTGGAGCTTCTGCGTGAATATTTACAACTTTATCAATGGTGCTGGAGTTAAAGGGCATTTAAAGAAACACATTCGGTGGACCTGTCAAGTTCTTTAAAAGCGTCAATGTTCAGATCTGTTGCAATCTATGTTAATAAAATATTCACGAAAAAATCACCTATGATCAATTGAAGTTAATGTTCTGACTGCCTTTGTGCAAACTCAAAAGACTTGAGCAGTAATCTAAACAAAACTGCTGGTATTGACTCAAGCAGTCAATACCGCAGTAGAACAAGTGTCTACATGTTCTGATTGCTCTAATTCATCAGTACATTTCTAGTCAGTATTTCTAGTACTTTCAACAAAAGTATACTTTAAAAACTGCACTGCCTTTTTATGTTTTTTTCATATAGTTTCTAGTGGGGCTTGACAATGCCAATTACCTGTTGAAAACTGATATTTCTTCCAGCTGTGCTCGAGTACATTTCGAAGTTATGCGACAGAGTATGTACGCAGAATGCCAACGACACACATTCTGTGGAGCAAAGTGGCTGCAAAGAAATGAGCACAAATGCTGTGATATGTGTAACTGAGAACAGAACATGTATGAACATATAAAAGAACAGACATGCCGATTCACAAATTATTTTTGCACAGTTTAAACCTGATCACCAATGGCTAAGTATGTAATATAACATGCATTATAAATTATGTATAAACCTTTCTGTATCTGCAGACATTTCATTAAAATGCAATATATGAGGTCCAGACTTAACTAATCTTGGTGATAATGTGCAGTTTGACAAGAAAGAAAGTATGCTCTTGGTGAGTTATGACTTAGACACAACATAGATGTGTAGTTTGAGCATTTATTAGCCACAATTCACTTAAATCAAATCGTGTTTTCCATTTTTTTAAACACATTCTTTATGAGTATTACACACATGTGCTCTGCTATGCTATATTCACAAATATCTGTCTTTATTCATGATTTCAGGGAGGCAGCTCTGACAGGACAGATGGTGGATGGGTATTTGACTCATTTCAAAACAAGTCAAAAATAATTATAATCTTAACAGCAGCACTGTCATTACTGTGTTTGCACGTCTAAATCATAGTTTAGACATTTAGGCTGAACGAGGAAACATAAACAGCTATTTAATGGGTAGATATACATAATGCATGAATGGTTTTTTATTGTTCCAGATGATAATGGTGTAAAACAAGCAATCTCAGATGATGTTTGATTTCTGTGCCACCCTAATTCTTTAATCGTCATCTGAAAATCAATCTTAATTTGGGGGTTCACGTGAGTTATTTTGGATTCTCTGTTGATAATGTCTGGGTTTCTGAAAGTTTTTTTTACATGCTATTCAATGGATTTTCTTGTTAGTATTTTACCTTTATGATTGATAGAGGTCAAACAGATTTGTAATGGGAGATAGGGAATGCAGAATGGAAGTCAAACTCTGGTCCACTGTAACAGGGAGTGAGCCCCCAATACACAGCTCTTCTTTAGTACATCTTCAGTTGGGTGGAGCTGTTTAAGAGCAATGCAGTGGAAAGAAGATATGTAGGTGAACGCAAGACGGGGATACACCGCACATCACTTTCCCTCACTGCTGAAACAGCAGTGAAACAAATCAAGCAGGGTCTCTGTAAAGGCATCACATCACTGATGCAACACAAACCACTAATGGAGTCTACACAGGGTCACTCAGTACTAAGTGAAGACTGTTGAAATCTACAAATTCAGATGCTTTCATCTCATGCCACACAAGTGTCGGCCTGGAAATCATGAAGTCCTGGGGAGAAAGTGAAGAGTGCTCCTGTCTATCAAAAAGAAAAAGGAGCTGACATAGCACCTATGTAAACACATCTATGTTTCACAAATGAGGTGGCCCTGCACAGACACAACAATGAGAACATACAGTCACACAATCAGCCCCCAGCCTGTCTTGTCTTGGTGTCAGGAGTCTCTTGAGAGCCGGTAACAGGCGCCTTCCTCCTCAGTGTGCATCTTGCCTGGCTGCAGACTACAGTGCACCCAGTGACCTGCCACTGGCTGTGTGCTCTGACAGTTTAGTGCAGTTGTATTTAGGGGTGTAGGCCTAGGTGTGTTCTACATGTCAGTTGTGAGGATGTGTTTGTCTTTGCTCCCTGTGGATCCAAAAGTGTGTGTACAGTGTCTGCCTTAGCTCCTGTTATGTCAGTGATGAGGTGGCACTGTACTTTGCAATAAGAGCAGTCAGCCTGCAGGCAGGACTGGCCATCTGGACTCATGGTAAAGAGCCTAGCCCAGATGTCAGTGTTTTCTTTTTTTCAATCCCTCTCAGTGTAATCAGATCTCTTTTTCTTTTTGCAGTCTTAACATATACATCAACTATAATACACAGTATGTTAACCATCTTGTTTTTTCTCCCCTTTTTTGTTGTCTTTCTTTCTCCCTCTGCAGTTTGCTGCTTTGTGGTCCACAAGAGGTGCCATGAATTAGTCACATTCAGCTGCCCTGGGGCAGATAAGGGGCCCGATACAGACGTAAGTAACCAAAGCCCAGCTGTTCCCTCTCACATGTTTGTCGGTGAGGACGTGCCTTTCCTGTCATTATACTCAAGTGCACATGCAGTGTCACCAATATGCAGTCAGGTCAACCAGGCCTGCCTCTTTTCTACACCCTTGCTCTTTTGGTAAGCTGTAGTGCTGCTTTGAATGATTGTTGTATTATGGAGCACTGTGGCAAAGTGGGCGGAGGAAACTGTACTTTACTCTTCCTCGGACCCACATCACTTTACAAGTATCGGTGTGACATGTTGACATGCTACATTTAACAACTTTTCTAGAGCTTGTACTGTAGAGGTAAATGTTTATCACAGCACATTGACTCGCATACAAAGCATCTTTGTTTAAGCTGTTCTCAAAAGAAGGCTTTAATATTTTAGTCTTCTAGAATCTATTCAATGAGTGCCATATACAAGTTACATTCAGCTGACTCATGATGAATCACAGCAGCAGCAGATGGCTTATTCAATTCTTCCAATGTACATGTTTCAGGGGAGTCACCGTGATTTAAATATCCCACTTAGTCAGTCACTGTCTCCAACCTCTAAAGAAATGAATGTGAGATTATTCTCTTTCTGTAGTAATACAATCAAAGTCAATATTCTTTCCTACAAACTAAACATATTTGAAAAGCAAGTTTTGACACAATAACATACTGACAGTGACCCCAGAAGGATAATGGAGTTCATAGTATATCTCCCAAAATTAAATTATAATTCACTCAGCAGGATTGAGTTCATGGAAAAGTATATTGGCAGATAGCCAAGCCATTAACAATGAGCTGCGTTGGCCCGGTGACAGATGGGAAATGTAGGAGTGGTGGCCAAAGCCAACACACCTACATCTGTCTTGGCTGGACAGAGACACACATACTAAACACTTAACACATACACTACAAATACAATTGTATTAGTCCAAATTGACTGAGCACGCTGTGGAAATGCTAATTTTGAATTAGCTTAGCTTTGTATGTATTTTTTTAATTAAAAAGTATATGATACTGGACCATTGGTGATCATTTAAAAACGCTTTATAATGTGTTAAAATGATTGTTAAATATCATTTATGATAATGTTTATTAATATTATTATGAGTGCTCATTACAATAATTACAGTGTAAGAAACAGGTTCTAAAGCATAATAGATCTGTTTATAATGCATTATAGACATCATTGAAAGTGTTATCTTAATTATTTTATTGGAATATGCAATTCATTTTTGATAAAATCAGCCACATTCAATGGGGTCTCCCATTTGCCTTTTTATCGGCTGCTATTACATGTGCCAGTAGCCAAGGCTTACCTGCATGCTAAGTGTGAAACTCAATTGACATGCCTGTGTGCCTGCCGGGCATGCATACCCTCTCAGTGTCACAGCAGCACTGCCTGGCCTCTGTAACTGGAGATATGTCAGTGTGTCATCGAAGATCATCAACCCAGAATCTTAAAATGGAGCATGGCAGGGATGACACGGAGAGCAGAAAATAGTCTGAGCAAGGATTCTCGATTCAAGCAGGCACTTGGGGACAGAATAATGAGCGGCTATCAAGTTTTATTGTGGGCAGGACAGTCAACTTTATTGACCTTTGATATCTGAGTGTTGCAGTTACATGTGTTTTACAATGAATGTATTGCACATAAAACACAAGTACAAATATTAGTCAGTTAGTCTGCCAACAGTTTTACATTCATTCCTGTTTCATACATTAAAATACTTTCTTGTATACAAACTGCAAAGTTCTACTTTCTCCAATGAAGAATATTGTATCTGTTAATGTTGCTGCATCAACATCCAAATGTGAGTTTCTCAAGAAGACCAGCACTATTATTCTTGCTGTGGTCAAACAGATTTAATGAAGCCTTTACTTTAATGCCATATGTCATTGCCACATGCTTAGACCTAAGGAGAAGTCATACTATATACTGATCCAACATACTAACACATACCTCACAGAAGTTATTTGAATTGAAATCCTTTATTGTCATTGTACAGGTACAAAATTAAATAAAGCAAGTCAGTGCATGTCTACATATCAACAAGCAAGAATAAAGAAAAGCAAAACTAATGTGTAGAGATCTAATCCGACTAGAGCAGACTTCTCTTAAAATACCAGTGGTAAATTATTCTCAGCCTTTCGTTAATGCGGGCACTCTGTGTGCTATTATGAAATTAATTAATGTGATCAAATGGCCACCACAAACCTAATATATTTTAAGAATATGTGAATATATTAACGCCTGCCATATAAGAATATTAGCTCCCTTTTTAATATACATTTTTGTGCACTTAGCAGTTCTGTTGCCACGGGCAACCACACATATTTAATGGCTTGGTGCCTCCCTGGCGTGCGATCCAGGAAGGCAATAACTCCCATGGCCAACAAATATCCTGAAGATCTGCAGTATCCAGGCTACCTGCATTTCGTGACTGTATTTTATAACTACCCTATTGTAAGAGATAAAGTGTTCACAAGATGCAGATCTTTTTCAGTAGCAAACTCATCATGGGCAGCTAGCCTTAGTTTGACGTGACAAGATTACCATGAATACATTGCTCCTTGAAGCCTGAGGGTGTTGTTTCAAAGGCAGGGTGGCTGCAGTTATGCACAAACTCACATGTAAGATTTCACATGTCATTTCTCTGCATAGTCGGTCTAGTAGTTGTACAGAGCACATTCAGTGGTGCAGTTTGAGATTCACTTTGAGATTCACTTTGAGTGCCATCTTTCTAGGAGAGAACTAACACTTGAATCAATCTGTTTGGTCACAGGCATGCTGCTCAAACCACTAGATTAAAGCATCTCATGACACATTTGACATTGTTTTCTAAATGTTCATGCACATTGGTAAAAAGGGTACTTGGTAAAAAATATTGTATGCAGAATGATGTAATATGCTGAATTTTCAGATTTATGAGAATCATTGAATTACCATATTAAAAAGTCTGCTGTTTTCCTCTACACACCATCAAACAACACTGTGCTTTTTGGTTGTTATAAGCAAAGTATACATTAAATACATTTTTGAGAATGAAAACATTATTTTGTTAATGTATTAAGATCATTATAACAATTACTTGATTGATGATCTGGTCAAATGAAATTAGTTTATAAATGTAACCACTATACAATTGGACCTTTTTAAAGGGATCACTTGTTGAGTTAGTAATAGTATCACTTAGAAAGCACATTCCATGCTAGTGTCAATTAGTCTGATTAAAGCACTTACTTTAACAAATTGTTTTCGTTTGACTGCCTGGTGTAACATTACCAGCAGGTCGAGTAAGTTCAGTGCTTTACAGGACAAGACCATCAATAATGCAAAAGCTTCCCGTTTCACTACAGGGGCTCAGCAGATGAAACTAAGAGGTTTGATGTGCTTGCATTTACGTGGGTGTGTGGCTGCTGCATCATTGATGTCCACTTAACCAGTGCAACACATATGACCCAGGGCAATCTGCTAGTCTTTGTGCACTGATTTCCCCTCTGATCACACACAAACACAATTAAACACACACACACACACACACACACACACACACACACACACACACACACACACACACACACAAACACACACTCCCCCTGGGGGCTGTTCAGTGCACAGATATCTGTGACAGAGTAACCGAGTTAAACAGTAGCACAGTGCCTTTTCTGTCTCCTCTACAGACACAACTGACCTGAGGGTGAAGTGGCAGCCTGGCAGAGCTCACACAGACACACAGAAAATGCCCTTCTTCCTCTACTTCTTCACAATATCAACCAGTTTAATGGTTTCAATAGCAGAGCTTCTAAATCACTTAGTGGAAGGGATGCAGGCATAAGGTATAAGCAGGCCTTCAGTTAATCTGAGAGAAATCAGCGGTGTTATATTATTGAGTTATGCTGTAGGCAGAAGTGTGCTGTAGGCAGAAGTGTTCTAATATTAAAAAGCACAAATCTCAAAGGTGGAGATGTTTTTTGGCAGACTCTAGAAGGTGTTTTGTTGACATGGGTTGGGATGCACACCATCTTTTTATATATACTCTTCTTGGAAATTGAAAACAAGATTAAATTTGAGTGTGCTGAAATTACATCATCTGTGACACAGGCATCCTGGGCACATCTGTTTTTTAAAGTCCATTTCCTTCTACCAAGAGTGTTGGTCATTTCCTACAAACAGGCATGTTCAGGCCCACTGGTGTAAAGAAGTCTTATAAAATGATGAAATATTTTCAGACTTTTTTTATCTCACTTTTGATATAAGCCTAGTCCATAAATACATAGGTAATTTTGAATACTGGATTATTCCTTCAAAATACCGACCATACAACCATGTTCACATTAAACTTCATCCAGATGTCAAGGCCAGTGGGCAGGCTGACACACACACGCGCACACGCACACGCACACGCACACGCACACGCACACGCACATTGGTGACTTTAGCAACAGGGTCTGTGCCGTGACAGTGTTGGATAATGTAGCAGTATAGTGACATCCATTTGCATTCGGATGTTAATGTTCCTTTACACAATGGAAGAGCTATACATTTATTTGTAAACCTAAACAGCATATTATAAACACAACCCTCCCATCTATAATGGTGCACACTATTACGTTACAACGCAAAAACACTGATTTCCCTGTCTACAGTCAACAATAAAACACAGCTTCTAAAAAATCTAAAATCTTGAGAAAAATCCCAAAACGCTATCTTAATACCATTTGCATGTAGACTACACTTTTCAGTTTGTGTTTAGGTCCATGTTTTCGTGCTTGAACACCCTAAAATGAAGTGCTAACCACTGTGTAAACCATGGTGCAGCAATTCAATCATTCAGATCAATATAATTGAGCAGTCCTTTTTAATGATCGCCTGCATGTCTATCAAGCAGTTTATGCCTGTGTGATGTCATGGCCTTTGCATAAGTACACTTCCCATCCTTTACTGAGTTGAATCCATGCACATGCCTTTAGCGACCCCATTATTGAAGCCTTG